AGCAAATATCAAGCTTATTAGAGGTCAAAATGGGTAGCTATAAAATAAGTAGGTAGCAGTCTATTCATAAGTAGGTAACAGTATACTCATAAGTAGGTAACAGTATACTCATAAGTAGGTAACAGTCTAGTGTAAGTAGATCACAGTATATACTGTATATATATATATACTGTGATCTACTTTTGCACTTGTCTTCTTCCCGCCTAAATTAGACTGTTTCTGATGCAACATGGTTTTCATTCTGATGTGCACTTGCAAATATGTGTCAAAAGCTTGCGAGCTACAAAATCCAAAGCTGCAACTGTCTCAAAAAGAGCAGGATCTTGTGGATGCTGGAGAAGGGAAGAAAGGCATACCACAGTCTCCTATCAAAATTCCTGTTTTTGATTAGGAAGATCCTTTTAATTAATGTATAATGTGCAAGCTTAATATTAAACTGCAGGTTGAAGCTTGTCATGTGGATGGAACAGTAATTTATTAGAAACTAAATTGATTGCTCTTTCAATGTATTTTTGACTCACTGTTTATGTTATCAGTACTTAGCTAAACATTCTGCATATTTTGGGTTGAAAGAATGAATTTTGAAACTTATATCTCAAAGTATACAGATTTCGTTGATTATCCAGAATGGAATTTACTAGGTGTAGTTTTACTAGAATTGATTGTGCAAGAGCACTTTTTGAAATCAGAAAATCTTACTCATCTTTTAATTAATTTGCATACAATAAAGAAAGAGCAAGGAGTGATAAGAATATTTCTGCTGTTATATTTTATTTCCTAATTCTCTCCGATTCAACTTCGCCTTCGGAATTTTTATAACAATCGCCAACACATTGTCTAATTAAAGTTGTATGTTACTATAATAACCATAACTTTTTAAACGAGCGAATAACCGTCTTTGCATAGTACATCTTTAACTTGTTTGAAAATGGTCTCATAGAGCTAATTAACAATGATTTAAACGCTCACAAACACTTTCAGAGGAGAATTCCTCATCTAAAACACGTCAAAAGTTACATACGCAAGCATGTTGCTGACGTCCTGGGGTACAGTTGAGCGGGCGTTATTTCATAAATAAAAATGACTCATTCGTAGAGAGAAAAAAGTATAGGATGACGAGATGTAAATCTCGTGATTTACATAAATCACAAGGAGGAACAATCATCATCGGTTAAAACCTTCAACAGACATGTCATCAGAAAGTGTTCCGAATGGGTACAAGCCACTGACATCCGACAATTGTGTCAAAAAAAGGATAATCCGTGAAGGAAATGGACCTATTCCATCTCCCTTGTCAGTTGTTACTGGTATATTCGCAGTAAGAATTCTTAAATACTCTGGTTAATTGCTTGGCAAAATTGCCATCAGCAATAGAAAAATTACTGAGAAAACACTCTGCCGTTAGTCCATTATGTTAGCAGAGTGAGTCAGAAAGATCACAAGGGAAACTCAGAGCCAGAAAAAGCTGACATTATGGAAACAACGCGAGGGGAATACGGAATGCCAATTACGGCTTCAATAGGCACTGGTTGGTAAAAGTTCATCCTATCGGTGCCTATTAAAGTCTAATTTTTTATGATTTTTTCTCATATCAATATAAAATAAAGGCCAGCTGATCAAGGGATTTGATTTGATAATCAAAAGCATGCGCGTTGGGGAACTATGCGAGGCGATTGTTTCTCCGGAATACGGTGAGTTAGTTTGCGTCGATCCAGTCGGGTAGTGTTCGCAAAGAAGCTTCTGCTTACTTGGCATTGTGATTGCTGTCTCTACATATGCGAAAGAAAGCTTACGGAGAAGTAGGATATCCATCATCAATACCGCCAACATGTCAGTTAGAATTCGAAGTTGAGTTGTTAAAAATTTCGGAGGTAACAAGAACGAAATGATCTTTGTATGATGACGCTTCAAGAGAACATCGATTACTTATTTTTCTAACAAAAATAAGAGTGCTATTTCGCGTAAATTGTTGAAATTGACCAAGTTGAAGGCACAAGGAAACGATCACTACAAAAACCAAGATTACAAAGAAGCACTTTCGCTTTATGAAAAGGTATGTTACTTAGATTTGACATTGGGAGAGAAAAAAAATTCTGATTGTGAACTTGACGTTCAGGCACTCAAAATAATTGAAGATGAGAGAGCGGATCAGCAATTGTCAACAAACGATGAAGGAGTCTTCGATCAGACTTTCCGAGACATTGAGATAGCTTTGGATTCGAATATGGCCGCTTGTTTCTTAGCTCAGCAGAATTACAAGGATGCTGAAAAGTACTGTCGTAAGGTAAAGCAATCCGTACAAGTACAATTTTTTTGCGCCCGAGGTTCCGAACTGACTCTAGGAATTAACAGGTGTTGTCAAAGGACCCGGATAATATCAAAGTTATTTATCGAATAGGACAAGCTTATCTGGGAATGAATGAATTCGAGAAGGGACTTGATGCTATTGCAAAGGGTTTAAAGGTTAATCTTTCGTTGTTTCATTTAATACTTTATTACAAGTAATTTGACTGGTTTAGGAAATTAATATTCTATCCTGCTCATCTCGTTTAATAGATTGCACCAACGGAGACTTCATTGAAGACGCTCCAGAAATCTATAATAAGTGCTCAAAGTCGTTATCAGTCTAAAGAAAAAGCTATTTACAGTCGCATGTTTTCGTCCACCTAATTATAAGATACATAGATAGATATGACGGATCGATTCCTGTACTTTCTCGACAGGACAAGCTGTATTGCCTTGTTGAAGGGTATTAGAAACCCATATTGTCCACTTTGCAATCATGTGTAAAGACGCGTCTGAATATATTCTAAAACCCCATACGTCGCGGTTTCTTCTTTTTTGGTTTCTCTTTCTTCTGATTTTCAGAAGTAGATATAACAGTTGGAATATCTTCTGGTGTTCGCTCGTCATCGATAACAGCCACGTCCATTGCAGATCCCGTTGATGGTTCAACTACCACTAGTTCATCAGCCTCCCTTCCCTCATCGTTATTTGTGTTAACTATCTCGCTAATTGACGCCGAAATATCCATCGAACTATCCTCATGATAGAGATCAGCATATATATCCGTTGTACTCCCAACGTTCATCTCTCTCATAGGTCTGTCATTTGACTTCCTTGCCTTCTCTTCACGCTGTGTAATGTTCGGTGTTGCGAATACGTAATCCTGATAATTCTGACCCAATTTCCAATCATCTATCAACCATCTAGCAGCTACAGACCATTCTATCTCCTCACCACATGCTGATTTGCATAACGCGATTCCTGACGTATTCCACTGTTCTGAATTGTCTCTTTGTTTAGAAAAGTGGTACAGATCAGAAACATAATGGTATTCATCCGTGCTATTTATCAATGGTCTTATTATTTCCTGACTCAGGAGAAGATCGTTTGTGATTTCGGATATTGCAAACTCGCGAAAGTTCAAATTATTCGTTGATATAGTTGAAGAACCGATTGCAATTGGCGTGATATACGCTTGGCGTAGGTTTTCTTGAATATTTTCCCTTAACGTCGGTAATGGTGAAGTAACATGATCTTCCATAACAGGAAAGCCAAACTTCTTAAGAGTTCCTAAAAGCAAGGAAATTTCATTTCTTGATGGAAGATTCTCAAGAAATACGTCCGGATCAGCATAATTCCAATCAATAGGCGTGCAGTCAGAGTTTTTTACCGAGTCTTCATATATGAATTGTTGCGCCGAGTCGCGTGAGCAATATTTCCTTACTTCGAAGCTATTGATAGAAAACAAGAAGAGTTAAGAGAAAAAAAAAGGTCGATACTGACAAAGAGAAATTTCCAAATTCAAGGATACGCAGTAACCGGATGTCCAACACTTTGTCGAGCTTTGTTAACATCCTCGTTTGATAACTCTATGGAAACTTTCTGCGTAACAGCCTTCTCAAATCGTTTAGTATTCGTCAAATTCTTCGTAAAGCGCCTCACTAAACCGCTATATTTGGTTTTGTTAACACCTTTAATCCTCTTATTCTTTCGCACTTTCTTTCGATGTTCGTTGTTCAGCCCAGGTGCTTCACAACTTTTGTCTGTGGTAACAGAACATTCTGTTATTTCACACTCTTCATCGCTAACAGAAGAATCGTCATTTGTTATTATACTTTCTAGCTTGTGACTATGTCTATCCCAGAATTGTGTCAAAACCACGTTCCCGTTGGATTTGTTGGCCTTACAAACGAGCTTCCATGTACACTTCAATAAAACACAAGAAAATCGAACAGACGTAAGGAAGCCGGTAGGAGAATATGTAGATGATGAGGGACGTAGAACTACGTTATGAAAATGAGCGTAACTATTGAGATAATAGAAGAGAGCGTCCCAAGAAACGAAGCTGGCCGAAAGAAACAAAGGAAAGAGTAATGAAAGACATGTTTTCGAAGAAGCAGCTTGTGGAGATGAAGTGCGTCGAGGTTGAGACTGTATTATAGAAAAAGGCTGCCCGCTGCCTCCGTGTTCTGATATATGTTTATTTAATTCGAGCGAACCGGATGAATCAGATTCTGTCAGTCGCGAGCCCTTGAACTCCCGAGTTGTAAAGTCCCATAATCGATTAAATCGTAACAATTGATGAAACTTGTTGTTCTCGACCTTTTCCTCTAAAGACTTGGCCTCCAAATCTAATAGCTCTTTCGAAAACTCTTTTTTACTAAATAAGTCTCGGTACTTCTCTCCGTCTGTATGCTGCAAACTTCCCAACTTTTCTACCAATCCAAAGTGTACTACCTGAGCATATATTCCACCAGTGCTTGCAAGTTGCAGGACGCTGCAAACCTCCTCGTTCTTAAGCCCAACCTTTTCTTGATCTCTTCCCGTGCGATGTTTTTCTTTGCACATTTTTAATTGACCTTTCAGGAGAAAGACGGACGATAGCGGCGGGAGAAGGCTCGGAGAGACGAGTTCTTCAAGTAAGGATTGCCTTTCTACGAGAAAGTCAGAATCAGCCATACTATTGTGAGATTGAACAAAGAATGGGTCTTGATGAAAGGACGTGATAGCTGTTGGAGTTATTGGCGAGCTGATACTACCCGATGGTGTCCGGCTGAAAGTAAATGCGTTGATCTTGGCATTGACAGCGGACCAACATACTGCAACGGTGACTAGAGAGAAGGAATATATGTAATTAGGCGAGAATTAAGCTGTAAGAATACGCGCATTCTATTAGTTGTGAAGCAAGTTACCATCGTTATTTGATATTACTTCTATTCCTCCGGGAGGGTTTTGCGGAAAATACGATAACCAATCTAGTAGGGGACGCTTTGGAAATCGTTGATCGAGAACGATAACGCGTTTCTCTGTAGCTATTATTGATTCAAACGAATGCCATGCCGAGGAACGTTGGAAAGCATAGATATTTTCGTTTGATTTTGAAACAAATAATGTGGAAGAGCGTGTCTTGGAGGGAGTCTACTGATTGTGAATACGTCAGTTTCGGAACTAGAATATGTTGTCATAAAGGTTTACCTACCCTAAAGTCTAGAACGCTCGCTTCTTTTCGAGAAACTACAAACAACGACTGTGGGTGTGCTCCATATTCGCAGCGAGTCCACCAATCCTGCTGAGGTGTGTCACAAGAGGGTTCTGATAGTTGGACAGTATTATACTCAAATTTATCAAACCGCCTAATAGCAGAATCCAAGAACAAGGACACAACGTTTAATTCAATGTTGCAAGAAATAAGATCGCTCGCTAACATAACTCACGCAATTTTCTTTTGCAATGTCGCTCTCCATATATGAACGCTGCCACTTCCATCAATAATGGCGGCTTCTCCGTATAATAACGGGTTAAACGTAACATGCATGTGTTCTGAAGTTGCGGCCAATCCCATGTTAGAAATCGAATCTATCGCAATAGCGTTCGTTGAACGTGGAAAGTCCCGTTTACCATCCTTCTTTGGAACGAGTGTCAGAAACGTTGTTGCAGTCGTCGTTCTTACTGCTATCAAACCTGCAAAAATTAAAAGATTAATTGCAATCATAATAACGCGAGAGGAAGAGGACAAATTGCATACATGGATGTGCTGAACCATAATCTTCTGAACAGACAATTTGCCGGATCGGAGTCCTAAATCGCAGTGCAGATTCTGCTGACGGTTGCAATACAAACTGGCCTATATCAGATTTTGAATCATACGCGCTCTCATGCCAATCAAGTAGCGATAAGTCTTATAATATAGTAAATAGAAAGATCAGGCATTGACAAGAGTATAATAACAAACCAATGGCAACAAAATTCAAGGATCAACCTACTCAACTCATTCCCAAGGGGTCCCATCGGAAAAGCGAGAAACTTCTGTTTCTCTCCATTATCAAACGTTCCGGAAGCGATTCGAGTTCCTAGATATGGATCATATTTCTCCCACTCGATCTGATGTAGCATGCTTTCTCTAACGAGATCGGTAACCATTTCAACAGGAAAATCGAATCCGGGGCATTCCTCCTTCAGATAGTTGGTCTATGCTTATCAACGCCAGAATCAACATCAAATTCATTTTATTGATTGTATTAACAGCACAGAAAGAAGTACTTCGAATATGCCGTAAGTATCTTTACCACAGAAAACTCATTGACTCTGTCAGCACTTGTGGTTGAGAAGTGTTGACGAGTGTGAGGAAAGACCTGGTATACGGGGGAAAGTGCTGTTGCGCTCAGCTTTCGGCTTTCTTTAAAACAAATATGAATTAGTTTAATTACCATATATGCTCATTTCGCGCAACGAAAGACACTGTAAGTAACCCAGTTCGTGTTAACAACTATGGCGTTAGTTTCTTACTTCCAAGCGTTTCGTTCAAATACTTCCACTCTTTCCCTCTTGCGGCCGTTTCATTGTACAGCAGCCCGCCAAAGCAACCAGACGTACAGTTTACGAACTGTTGGTGCCGACGAGGCCAAGTGTATTTCGCGGCGGTATTGTAATAGTGCATGTCTGTAGGTTCCATTCTTTCTTATAATTTCTGGATTGCACATTCTAATTTGCTTAATATCAAAAAAGTCAAAAATTATAATTATGTGCTGAAAACTGTGTAACTTGAAATTTTGATTACACAAACTTCACAACACTGAAAAACAAAGTACTAAACAAATCCTTATTTGACAAATTTGCATGGGCATCAGTTAACAGTCAGTAATTTCTGAGGCAAGACGCGTTACGGATATTATTAAGCATTAATATTAATTCTACGATAATATCCGGAATATTTCTGGCATTCATCTTTCCACGTTTTGCTTACAATTTCCTACATCAATATTAATATTAATATGTTTTTCCGTCTGTTGATGTCATTACGCTTGTAAAAGGTCTAGTTATTATACCCTGAGTCAAAAAAAAAGAAGCAATCAAACCAGCAACTTATTAAAGGTTATAAATCAAGCAGAAAACAAAAATCTACGAAAAGAGTTAAGAACTATGGAAAGAGTCCAGTTTGAGGATTTGACCTCTCCTGTAATTATAATATAACGTAAATGCTTGCGTTTAAAAGGTCGCTTATTCGGATCTTACTTGAATTGTAGTAAAGGCCAGCTCGCACCACTACTAAACTTAGCACTAACGTTCTCTTAGAGCTCGACCACTGAATGTCATATTCGCTCTTAGGATCATTCTATTTCAAGTAACCTCCGTAGGCTTCAGCTCATCTTCATTAAGCTTTCTGATATTAATATCAATAGACTGTCTAACCATCAATTCAATAATAACGTATATCTTAAAACCCAGAATAAGAAAGTTAATATGTCCAAATAAATTGCGTAACATGTCTATTAAATAAGTCAAATATTATAAACAAAACATGTGCAGAAATATCAAAATATTTACATGTTTTTAAAAGTGTCTTTTAATTGGTCCAAAAAAAACAACAACCAGAAATTAAGTACTAAATTTGTTTTCTCTATAATAATGAACAGATTCTATGAACGTCTATTTAACGTAATCAACTTCCTCTTCTAGAACGATGACCATACAGACTCCATTTCTTTACTTCCAATCCTATTAGGAAAAAAACAAACATGAATACGTATGGTAAGAACAAAATCATATTACTACAAATGTAAATAAACTTACTTTGCAAATTTTTGACCTGTGGCCTTACAAACCCAAACAGCGTCAATGCACCTAAAATTATGCAAATCATGGATACAACATAATATCCGTCTCGCTCTATTGTACAAATTCCTCCATTATCCTTGCACATTGCTTTTTCTTGTTCACCGACACAATTCAATACTGTGTTATCTGCATCCGGTACTGAGCACGTTGCCTCTGTAAAGTAATCAACCGCACCCAGCACGAAAAATCTTGGCCAAGTTCCACCAAAATTGCTAAAGGTCGCCAATAGCTAACAATAATTAAAGCTATCAGTTAATTCAGCATCTCATCACAAATATTTCAAAGAACTTTGCTACTTACAGTCATGTAAGTTCCTCCAATGACTGGATCCGCAATTGTAGTAAAGAATGCGGATATACTAACGAATTGCACAGTGCTAATAAACAAAGGTTAGAACACGGCGTTTACACCATATAATACAGACTAGAGTCTGACGCCTACCTCATGAACGAATTAAACACTGTACTAGCGATTACGAGAAAGAAGTATCCGGTGGACACAACGCCGTCCTTTGGAAATGCTAATATAATTAACATCCCGGTAACAGCAAACGCCAACCTTCCATAGAATGCCTTTAGCCACTTCATTATATAAAATCTGATGTCAGTATCATCTGTCAGTAAACAAAATATTCAATAAACATTATTACACTCAACTGGATTAAGAGGCTGTGGCCCACTACTCCATTTGGCTGCATAATAACCAAATATGATTTGAAAGGGAAAATCTATCAAGACTGTAAGGGCCAAGTCTTCTCTGTTGAATCCTTTCTCAAGAAGTTTCAAACCAGTCACATTTTCATTGGCTATAAATCCAATCTTGGCTAAAAGCATGACCAAGATAAAATTTTTCATATCTATAGCAATAAATTGTCAGAACTAAATCGGTCTCATGATACATCAAACACATCTGAAGATAATAATATTCTTACGAGGTAGTTTGCAGATATTCCATATTGTTGTATAAACGGATTTGACGTCCATCATGTCATCGTCATGCTGAGTGCGTTCTTCAGCTTTGCCAAATATAAGCCATATCGTAACTGCAAAATACACAAACGCCCAGAATACCAAGTATGTTCCCAACTGCAGTATTCCCTCATCCTTCGGTTCACTTCTAAAATATTTATTGCTACAATGCATGCGAGTCAGTCGATATTCTACGCAGCATCCCTCTCCACGCCACACTTAGCAAATATTACCTGAACTCGGCAGAATGAAATGCCAAAAGCACGGTAAACGACAAAAAATATCCGGTGTTTAACCCTACCGTTTGTGCAGTAGAAGCATATGATAGATTTGGCTTTGATAACAGCGTGAGAGCCCAACCTAATTGATTCACGTAAAATTGAGATATTATCATTTCCAAGTTATATGCGGATCAGGCCAGAAAAACTCACCGTCTACTGCGATGTCTGAAAGTTGAACAATTTACGTTAATAATTGATTCGTTGAGTCATTTAATGTTAGAACAAAATACTCCGTTAATTTACCTTGTGTAGCAGAAAGAAAAATCAAGGTAAAGAACAAAAAAGTCAAAGTGGTAACATCCAGTTTCTCCTACCGGACAGGGAATATTTCTTACATTCAGTCACATAATCGTTTATGCAAGTATACTTCAATCATTACAATAACTCACGTTCGTAAACATTTCATCAATGTGCAATCCAAGCCAGAGGAGTAAACTTCCCATCAATATCTGAATAGGAATGATCCAACTTTTTCTTCTTCCAATGCTTTTAGAATATGTCGCATCGACAATAGGCGACCATAAAAGTTTCAAGGAATAAGGATAGGAAGCCAGTGAAAATATTCCTATTTGGCCGTAGGAAAGCTTGGATTTGAGAAGGAAAGGGATCGATCCGGAGGCCAACCCAACAGGAATGCCTTGTAGAAGATCTGTTGGATGGATACAGCATGGGTACGTTATGTAGCAAGGAAACGATCCGAGCATTAATTTTTGTGGTCTCTTTCATGGTGTTTGTCACTCTGCTCGCACTTACATAATGTAACAAGCAGGGCAAAGCTTTTCTTATCTTGCATACTCAGCCCAGGGTAACTGTCGGCAGCAGCTGTTGTATGACTGCTCGACCAGTCATCAAAACCCAATTCTTTCTTGTCTTGCTCATCGTTAATTTCTCTTCGTTTCAGCTCGTTGTATCCCTCCGAAGGGTCGAACATTTCAGTTGATCCCTGAATGTCGTGTGATTGGCGTCGTGTTGATGCTTCTCCGTCTGATTGAGAAGTCGGCAAATCTAGCATTTCCAGCAGCTAGCAGCAGAAAAATTTGACAACGACGAAACTGGGTTGACCAATAATATTAATAAATATTTTGACACGTAATAAGCGAAAATAAAGTTATTTATTACAAATGCTAAATCGGGGCATGTCATATCAAGGTTTCACAAACTAATCAGATTAATTGGTTTAGCGCGAAAAACGAAAAAGATTAGTATTATTATTAGCATTGCAACCAGGAAGGCTGTATTGGACACGAAGTCTAAAACGATGAGGATCAGCCATTACAATAAATAACTGCCAGCAAAAATCGCTCATCATACATTGCTCAAGTTAGAAAAACGATGCTCCAATTCTTCAAGAATGTAAAAAACATAAGCTGGGAAATAAAATATATTTGTGGATTGTTATACTGTGGCTTGACATGCCATCATCCATCATTCTGTGGCAGCCCCCATTTCCACAAAAAGTTTTTTTTGTTAGTTTGATTTTGCGAAAAAAACCATAACGTACCGATGATGCTTTATAGGCAACAGAAAATATTACCAACCAGTACCTGTAAATTATTAAGTCGTTCTTTGTCGACAATGACTATAAAAAACATCATCGAAACAACCCCAACAAACACTGGAGTATGCGTCAATGGGTGGATAAGATCAATTCGAATACAAAAGAAGATTTGTTTTGCTAATATTGCTGATGGCTCAAACTTGAAAGGATTGCAAGCAGTTCTTTCGGAACATCATGCCAAAAAGTTTGTAGCAATCGTTTATTAACGATTAAAATTGTGATAATATTTTAAACATTTATTTCCTCTTTGAAGATTGACGACCGGGACAAGCGTACAGTTTCGTGGCAAACTCATTGAAAGTAAAGGCACAGAGCAAGCGAAAGAATTACAAGTAGAAGACGTGAAGATTTACGGACAATGTGATGCCGCTGTATGCTAATCTCGTTAGAAGATATGTGCAGATTTTGATCACGTACTCATGATTATTTATACACAGACGTATCCGTTGCAAAAGAAACATCACACGCCAGAATTTCTTAGAGAGATATCCCACTTTAGGTCGAGAGGAAACACTGGCAGCGCATTACTACGCACGCGTAATGCAACTGTAATGGCATTTCATAATTTCTTCCAGGTGAACCAAATCTTTATTGTGTAGCATATTTCATTCGAATACCGCTTACTCTACAACTCGATCAAAAGGCTCAAACCACAATTTAATAGGAACGCGATTTTCTCAACGTTCAAACTCCAATATTAACTACATCCGACTGTGAAGGGGGGGGGACAAGCATTCAGAGTATCAACCGAAAAGGGCGATAACGATAACGACAACGACAACGACAACGATAAAGATAAAGAGACTGAGGCTGATAGTGGATTCTTCAACAAAACAGTTTATCTTACAGTTTCCAGTCAGTTACATTTAGAAATATTGTCTAGTTCGGCATCAAAAGTATATACTTTTGGACCTACGTTTCGAGCAGAACGATCTCAGACCTCTAGGCATCTAGCTGAATTTTGGATGCTTGAAGCCGAAATGGCATTTATATATTCTTTAGATGAAATGCTTAACTTTGTGGAGAACCTTCTTCAGTCTATTATTAACCGCGTAATAGAAACTTGTCCAGCCGAGATCCACCATTTTGCCAAATATCTTAACCCAACTCTAACGTCCCGCTTATCAATGACTGTAAATTCTCCATTCGTCAGGATGACGTACAAGGATGCACTGGACGCTCTTAACTCTTCCGGGCAAGCGTTTACCTTTCCCACAAAATGGGGTTCGCCCATACAATCGGAACACGAGAAATATCTCGCAAACGTTTACTGTCGCCGTCCCGTATTCATTACAGATTACCCTCGACACCTCAAGCCGTTCTACATGCGGACGAGAGACAATGACAATAGCATAGTCGCCTGTGTTGATCTGATTGTTCCACATGGCGGTGAACTCGTTGGAGGCAGTTTGAGGGAAGAAAGGTACGAAGTATTGGAGAAGCAGATAAAAGAAGCCGGACTGTCTGCTGAGGAATATTCATGGTATTTAGATTTAAGAAAGTACGGTACTGTACCTCATTGCGGTTTTGGTGTTGGGTTTGACAGATTTTTGCAGTATCTGACTGGGGTAGAAAATATCAGAGACGTTACTGTATTTCCCAGGGCGTACGGCTATTGTAAATATTAAAGGGAGAGGTGGTTGGAAATAGCGCGTAAGGGGGATGAAGCGAATTTGTTTATTTCTTCTTCTGTATCTACACAGGGAATATATTACAGTATTGCTATATGAGATAAAAGGGAGACGTTAAGTGTCTATGATTAAGAAATGATCGATAAAAGTATACGATAATTAAAAGTGAAACAGGTCGATGAGCTCCAGAGTGCGAGACCCTATAAACGGCCGACGATAAACAGAATGAAGTTGTATAGAGCTCCATTCTTATTTACAAGATGTTCCGATGTCCATTAATTTTGTAACAAAACAGACTTGCCAATAGCACCTCTCATCACGGCTTATTTCGAAGAAGAAGAATTAGGTTTGACAAGGGGTCTTCGACAAGTAGGACAAGATTCATGGTGCTCTAGCCATGAACGAAGGCATGACAAATGAAACATGTGTCTACACGGCAGCTTTCTTGCTTGTGTCATGTTGTCTCTACATATGGCACAGTCGTCATTATATTCGTCTAATTCTTGCTCTGATGCGCTTGGATACCTGTTGGATTCAAGAATATATTTGAATTCCATTGATTTGCGTAATTGCACTTCTAGAATCAACATCAGTTTACTTACTGTGCTTGCATGTTTGTAATTGCTTGCCTGTAGCTGCGATAAGCTGCTATTTTCTTCCTTAGGTTGTTGAACACACTTCGCATATTTAGGAATAACACAGCATCAATAAGCGTGAAGGAAATACCATGGAGAATCTGCATTATATGAAAGAGGTTTACAAACAATCGCTCGATATAACGAAATAGAATGTAAACAACATATGTGCCACAAGAACGTACCATAATATGCATGTAATGTCCTAGAGTTGCCACCAGTATCAAAGTGTCCGTCACAAATTCAGTATAATAGAAAAGCAATGCTCTTGACTCCCAAACACCAGGTCGAGAAAGATCTCTCAAGTGTATAATGTATTTAACCAGTGTTTGTACTGTGTCCAAGAAAAGTGTTACACACTATAATCAAAAAGTCATATTCAGCACAGAATATTATCACCTAATGCTTAACGATTCGAGTTTTCCTTACCTCAAATGTCAATAGCAACAACATTGATTTAAACACGATTACACACAATATGAACCAGAATATGTCTGCAATGAAAATAAGAACCAGCAAAACAATGATTCGTCCGTGTTCTTGAAATGGCGCATTCGTCGTTGACATCTACATTTAACTGATGAATTTAGATTCATACACTATAATCTGTGTCCAAAACAATCAACTTTACTTACAAATTCAAATCTATCACGACAAAGCATGCTGAATATCCTTAGAAACCCGAGAATGGTAAACCAAGTCGTCCATATTAATAGGTCTTCCCATCTTGGATCCAAGATTGCGCCGATAAATACCACTTTAAATAAAAGAAAATTGAGGAGTCTATCGTACATGCGCTGAAGAACGCAATAGAAAGGTAAGACTAATCCGAATGGAGATCTTTGTCTTTATGTCGATTTATCAGGGCTGAGGAAGATAAACGGGCATAATGGGTGATGTTGATTGCAGCATAGGGTAAAGAGATATTGAACGGAATAAATACCTGCGTTTCTATCACCCGCAATTCACCAAAGAACACCTTTAACATGACTTTTCCCAACAAATACAAAAAACCGAATGCCATACTTAGATATGTCTGCAAAGTAATGAAATCGAATAAACATCTACTACGTCGGTGAGAATTGAAATCAATCAAAACTGGATCAATGAATGTAACAACATACCAACACATACAGCATCTCTTCCTGGAAATATCCAACTAAATATTGAATAACAGCTCCTATCCGTCCCGGTGGTTTGACTTTTGCCAGGCCTTCCATGCCTGTAGAGTCCAAGTTGTCTTTCATGTTTCCGGGAAATATTAATTTCTTAATAGAGACGAAACCAAGAAAAAATAGGGAAAGGATGTTTAAAAGTGACAGAATCAGGGTTGAAGACTAAAAAAGAGCGAAAGAGTGATACAAAAAGCAAATCAAGTAAATAAGACTTTAGGTGAATGAATTCATAAGTGGATATGTCTCTCTCTCTCTCGTCCGCAATTCTGTTGCCGAAAAACTCTCGGGAATGTCAACCGGAAATATCACTTTAAATCATGTCGTCACCACGTTACCCCTGTTCCACAACGCTCAGATCACACCTCAGCCCATCTTTTTCGTCTGGAAGAACTTCCCCCTTCGCTTATCCCTTGTGTTTGATATCCAAACGACCGTCGACATTCATTATGGCAAGCGTCGTTAGAGCCTTACTCGATTGGCTTCGAAGCCTGTTTTTCAAGGTTTGGAATTAGTCAAGAAATATGTTTCACATAATAGATAGTATGTAAAAACGGCATGCTCTTCAGAAGTATGATATTTTGGGGGGCTAATGCTGCTGGGATGTTGACGTGAAAGATATCTATTTGGTAGACGGAGCTCGAGCTTACGCTGGTTGGACTGCAGAATAGTGGGAAGACAACCTTGGTTAATGTTATCGCAGTAAGTATTGGGCAAAGAAGAATGTGAAAAGTTGAGTGGGAATAAATGTGCGGTTGACATGAAAAAAAGGGAAGAATGCTCGAATGTACACAAGTGAATGCCCGCCGGTAAGTTGTTATGTCATTACTCTTCCTATAATGCGGCTAAAACTTGTACGAAATTATACTCAATTTAATGCGTTGTTTTAATTAGAGTGGACGGTTAATCACGCGCGCTCCTTGTTCACGATTGGAGTCGTAATAGAGTTTGTTTGCCTTTCTACAACGTACACATGTCAGAAATTACAGTCTGCTATTTTAACGGATTGCCCGATCGCGTTTTAACCATATGTGCATGTGGTTCTGTATCTACTACAATAATTGCAACAAGCCTATTCATTAATCATGTCTCTCTTTTCTCCTCTTTCATATTGTATAGTCGGGTCAATTTACTGAAGACATGATTCCTACAGTGGGATTCAATATGCGCAAAGTCACAAAAGGCAACGTGACAATGAAGTTATGGGATATTGGCGGGCAACCACGATTCAGGAGTATGTGGGAAAGATACTGTCGTGGTGTGAACGCTATTGTGTAAGTATCAAGTCTTTTTAATTATGGTCAGGAATCGGGGTATTTGTAAAATACATGTTGACACTTTCTACTTTTGATTAAGATTTATTCTTGATTCAGCCGATCCGAAAAATTTAGAAGCGGCAAGGAATGAGCTCAAGAGTTTGTTAGATAAACCCCAATTATCTAATATTCCAGTATTAGTACTGGGAAATAAGAACGATTTACCCGAAGCGTTGACTGTCGAGGAGATTATCGAACAGATGTGAGTGAATCTTGATGGATATATGCATCTAGTTTATTTCCATATTAGGTAGCTCCATATTGCACACTGAAATGAGATACCTTCTTACCATCTTTTGTTAATTTATCAATGTAGGAATCTGAAATCAATCAACAACAGAGAGGTTTCTTGTTATTCTATTTCAGCCAAGCATCAGGTGAACATTGACATAACGCTTCAATGGCTGATTAAGAAGGGAAAGGGGTCCAAGTAATATAAACTAATGAATTGACGGTATTGAACACAACTCTAATCTATTATTCGGCTCATGTAATCAAGTCTCATGTTTCTATTGATGAATATATGAAAGTTAGAATTTGTATTTTTCTTTTTCTTAATTAAATATAAAATACTCATTTGTACCTTATTGTATAAAAGGAGAGCACGTATGTGTGAAAGAATTTTAGCATCAAGATGAATGTATTCGCAACAGAATAAGAAGGGGTGAACACTATGAATGTTGAAAAAAAAAAAGGTTTAATACGAGTTATATTAAATGAACATTAAAAAGCGTGTTTTTTCCCAAGACAACTTTCAAATCATAAATTGACTAATGACGTGAACTCGCGTCATCTCTCCTTGTTTGATTATTATTCGACGATTTTTTGCGCGCTCTACGTCAGATTCCTCTGGTAATTCTGTAACACGGTCATAAGCCGGGCAATCCTATATTCGACTCGTACAATAGATGGTCATTGTTTTTAATCCACTTTACAGTATTTTATAACTGGAGAACAATGTGAGGCAATGCACTAGGCAATTATGGAAATTGACGAATTTATGCAGCTTATAACTTCTATGGCATAATTCGACGCTACTTTCAAATTTTACTTTTCAATATTAATATATATTTATTTTGGTTTGGATATTTTTGTGTAATAAATACAAAATCGCGGGGGTTATTATATACTTACAAATATATAATCGCCTAACTTTCTAATTACAGCTCGACCTCAAACTCTGTGCAGTAATCTTTCGTCCATTCTTTGGCAGCAGCAGCAGCAACAACAACTAATTTTTCAAAAGTCAAAGAAAATTCGACTTTCTTGGGATGCTGGACGCCCGAAACCTTTACTGTTCCAACTAATTCCATTCCCTCTTCATCACAGTATTTCCCAACATATTTTGTCGTTCGATAAACTTTATACTCAACTTGCTGATTCATGTTTTTGCGATGTTCATGTATGTTTTTAGTAAACTTGCGACCAACAGGCACTTCGGTTCCACGTTGAACTATGGGATAAAAGGCAGTAACATTTCCATTGGCGTCTATTTCCCTGGCTGCATCATCTACCTTCTGTGGACGAATAACTTGGATTCCGTATGTATGAGAGAGTACGCGAGCATACGTACGAGTGATCTTCAGACCGAATTGTACTGCACCACGGGATGCAGCCGTAATTGGTTGATTGGGAACAGCGAGGAGAGAAAACTGATGGAGGGCGTCGCGCATGCTGTTGACAAAGTATTCTGATTCCGCAAATCCGCCAATCAAGAACAACACTTTATGTGGGCTTTTATTCAATAATACCTGACTGTTTATGTCTTGGCATAATTTTTTGGTCACGCTGTCAAAAAAGGATTTCACGTCGTCATATTGAATGTTAAGCATCCAGTCATCCTCTTCCAGAAACAGTCTACGATCCGCTTGAATATGGTCACAAACAGCTGGACAAAATTCCTTCAAATCCAACCCTAGCGGCTCGTAGGTCTCTGCGTTTCCCGTGAAATATGTTTTTAATCGATCGAAGAAATATAACAACAAATACTGAAGTTGGCCGTCATATTGTTCTTGAAGAATTTGGATGGCATCAGAGCCGAGTTTACGGGATAGAAAAGCAATAAACTCTCTGTCAACATTAATTGAGCCTATGGGCAGAGTAAGTACATCAGTGGCAGTAGAAACATTGTGATTTTCGTCAATCGAACAAGTTGACAGTGTACTGCTGGTGCCGCCACAATTGAGGAGGAAGAACTCGGTTTTTGGTTTGAGATTATGGTAAGATACTAAAGATTGGCAGTAAAGAGCCCCTGCAACGCCTTTGAGGAAGCACAAATGAACAAGTTTTAATAGTCATATACTAATGACAAAACTACATAACGAACTAATTCTCACAACATACTTTCTGTTACGAACTCCAAGAATCCATCCTGGGCATCGGAAATGAGTCCCGCTTCAGCAGCACATTTCCGTATAAGTATACGATCAGCATTATTCGGTACTACCATGATTATCGCAGCTTCTTCGTGAAGTGATATCCCTGGCCACCGAAAGTCAAGTGATTTTTCAATCGTCTATGCAAAAAGCATTTAGTAGGAATTAATGTCAAAATATAATTATGTTGGAATGGCTCCATTCAGAACAAACATACCTTGGTAATTTGTCTCAAATGGTCAGTAAAAACAGTCTCACTATTTAACCCGTAAGGTAAGTTAAGCTTGTCTTCCCCTTTGCCGCCATGACAAATAGAACTTCTAAAATTCACTATAGGCTTGTTATAATTTTTATTCCAAACATCTTCACCATATTCTTTATCTGTAGCCCGTAGTCTAGCGGGACGAACAGCCAGAGCAGGCGCACCCCATGCAAGAAGTTTATCAAGGTTGTCATCATACAAGAGTGCCGATGGGGTTTTGTATGAACCCCGCCGATGCGGCCATGAGTCGAATGAGGTTATAATGTTTGGAGTCAGTACATTACAGAAAGCAAAACCAGTGGACGTCGAACCAAAGTCTATAGTGAATGGGGAGAAGGGGAAGGAGAGGTTGAATTAGCGCAGAAAATACAATTGTGAAGTAGACAACGAGTACCTCCTTCACAAGATGCAGTCATAAACATAATATGCATAAAGCACATTACCTATTCCAAAAACAATCTTGACATTTCCATCTGTAATCTTCGTCCTTCTCGTACATGGCGATGAAGTATGTGTCATTGATCGCCTATGCCCAGGTCGAGAGCGACGATCTCCGCTTACTGAACGTGAGCGTGAATGAAAGCCGGAACGACCTCTAGAATCGTGCGCAGATATTGGAGAGAGTAAATTGCTATCAACCATATTGATTAATTCGGAACGAGAGAGTAAGGAACATTGCAAGTTGAACGATGGAGTAATTTATAAGTATGCATGTGTATGTAAATTTTTTAAAGTATGAATCTTCTTTGTTGTGTGCTGACAATGCGCAATCAACAAATTTGTCCTTATTACGAAATTGGTGTCAAGGGTTGCGCACCAAATATGGGCGCCTGTGTTTGATCGACATGCTTATATTTAAGGGTGGCTCGATTAATATACTTGAAAATAGTATGGCAAACCATTCAATTGCGTGCTTACAACCACGTCAGAAATAAGATGACAAGGTTTCCAGAACTCAAACATACCGGCGACACTAATAATTCTACATCGCTATGCCATCTACCGAAAGACTTTTTTATTCACAAAGAGTATGCAGGACATCTGATTGTGTGTCCGAATATGTCTGTTTGAATGAACTCAAACTGTATAAATATTATTTCCAAATCCATCTTTAATGCATAACAAAGAAAATATTGCGTTTATGTAACCGAAATGTAAAACTATAAAGTTTAATGAAGAAAAATGATTGCGAATTCGTACATTGCAAATAGGCAGTATTTTGCTAGCTTAATCTATCTAACCCTCACCACTCTAACCAGTCTCTAAACTATTCAGTCAAAAACTCCCATGGAACAAACAGAAATGTCAGATTCCGACCAATCTCCACCTTCCCCACTTCCAAAAGACCTTCGCAAAGTCCCATCCCCCATCCGCATCGATGTACCCAACCGTCCCCGTCCGGTATCTTCCTATAACTCTCCGATTGTATCTCGAATATCCAACACACCGTCATCAACTCGTTCGGGGTCTCCGGTATCTAGTGGAAAGGACAGGACGAAAAACGAGACGCCTACAAAGAAAGACAGGAGAATATCAAACTCAAGAAAAAATACAAATGGTGTAAAAAGCGTTAAAGAACCAGAGGGAACAATTGTCATTGTAGGAATTGGTAGGTATTCTTACGGAAAACAAATACGAGTGATTAACAAGCGAAATCCAAAATAATACTATACCATTTCTCAAGCAATTTAACTTGTATTTGTGCAGATTTTGGGACAACTGCTTCAGGATTTGCCTATGCGGATGCCATAAATCCTAATGTGATTGAAATTTTTGACGACTGGTAGGCTTTAAACACGACTTTTATCCCGTTAATTTATTTAATGATATTTTATTTTTCACTGTTTTCTTGTCAAATACAGGCCATGTTGGCAAGGATATCTGAAAACGTCAACTAGTATCCTGTATGACTCAATCACAGGAACAGCAGTACAATGGGGCGAAGAAACTCAGGTATCATTGATACGGAAAAGACGTCGACTGATGAATTCAATGGATAGTAACTTCAAGGAACTTGAAGCGTTCAAGATGATTATTGTTAAGTATGGGGAAGAGGATGCCGTGGAACTATGGAAGAAGGCAGTCGTGGACTATCTGACAAATTTTGGAGCGGTTAGTAAAAGCGACCCGTTTTAGCGAAATGTAGTAACAACAAGAAAAATATTGCTTACAATGAAGTACTTTTTTGTTTGACTCTTTCATTACAGAAACTGCAGCAGGCTCTACAAGCGGTCTATCCGTCTATATCTTTATCCAAAAACGCTTCTATTATACTGTCTATCCCGTCGTTCTTTTCCGCCTCTGTCCAGTCTCTCCTTTGTGAATGTTTTGAGCGGGCCCTCTCAATTCCATCTTCGAATCTCCATTTCGTCTACGAATCAGTAGCATCAGCCGTATACTGTATGCGATTACTCCCTGGTCACCACGAAGACGTCGGGTGCAAATTTCTTGTTGTAACGTGTGGAGGCGAAACGGTACAATTGACGGTTAGGCAATTAATGGAGAATGACAAATTAAGAGAATGTACAATACAGACAGGCGAAATATGCGGAGCAATGGAGGTTGAGAAGGAATTTGAGGCCTGGTTTGGCAAACGTGTTGGAATTGATGGATTGACCAAGTGGAAGAAAGAGTATTATGGACAGTGGAAATATCTTTTGCATGTGTTTATCAAGGAAGTTAAATACGAATTTACCGGAATTGAAGAAAACTTTCGACCATTCCGATTAGATTTACTTGAATTTTGTCCTAACCTCAAATATCTAGTCTCCGAGTCTTATCGTGCTCAACTCAAATCTGTCGAATGGATTATAGACGTTACTTTTGCTGACGTTAAATCCTTCTTTGACCCTATTGTCGATAAGATTATCAAGTTGATAAGTGATCAGATTAAACAGTGCGAAAATGTGGATGTTATGTTTATCGTTGGCGGATTTGCGAATTCCGAATATTTGGTTAGGAGGATTAAAAAAGAGTTCAAAGACACGGTGAAGAAGATTACAGTTCCGGCTCAGCCGATTGCTGCCGTATTAAAAGGCTCAGTATTCTATGGTGTGTATTTTTTTTTTCAGTTAATCCTAGTAGTTCTATCGATAATAATAATAATAATAATAATAATAATAATAATAATAATAATAATAATAATAATAATAATAATAATAATAATAA